CTCCTCAGTCCATCCAAACATGACCACCTTCTCCAAACTCTGTCCCTAGCAGCATCTATGATGACACACAACATGGAGCCAGGCTCGAGAAATGGAAAACAAGAGATACATGTGGCTGAACTCAGTGGACACTGAGTTTTGTGGTCCAAAGGAGGCCACCAACCACCACACCTCTCTCTTCAGGTCCAAAGTCATGCTGTGGGTCATGAATGTTTTTCCCCTAGTGGGAGGCAGAGTGGTTTGGCCATTCAAGAACATGTGCCAGCTGAGTGCAATTTCAGTCATGAAATACCGATCTGGGTGTCAATGAGTGAACCAAGCTGGCATCTGGCACAGGGCCAGGGTAGCCTCTGAGGGACAAGCCAGCTCCTCTCTTCGGTCACCTTCCCTGGCACAAAAGCCAGGCAGGTGGCATGGCAAGGCCAGAAGCTTCTATATTAAGCAGAGGTGACCACTTTCCTCAACCCCTGAGAAAGGAGACTCCTCTACTGGTCAGTGGTCACCAGGAAAGCCAGTCTCATGGGGCTGTCACCAAGTGTAGGAACTTCAGGCTGGGGCCAGAGACTGGCTGTCCCGGCAACCTTTCTTAGTACAGGGCTTCATGGCTTCAATGTACAAATCCTCCCAGCACCCCACAACTACCCCGCGTAAAGGGCGAAGGAGGAAACAAGGGCTTTGGATAAGCCCAGAACTGTGGCCCCATCAGCAAATGGGGAGTTCACAGTTAATCTCACCTGACTCAGGCTTGTCTGTAGCAGGTGCTCTCTGGGATACTTCAAAGGACCCATAGGACCTACCTCCACTCTAGGCTGGACCCATACCAAGCAGGAGGCCGCCAGCTGAGGCCACCACCTTCCAGATCTCATCATCTTACCAGCTTTCTTCAAGCAACAGGGGAGCACAGAAGGTCACACAGAACAGACGATGCAAAAAAAAAAAAAAGTAAGTTTTTTATTGTCTTGGATGCAAACAGTTTTAAACTGCATTGTAGTGTTGCAGCAGCTGGTGGAGTGGCTGTGTGGAAGGTGACGGTCAGGGTGACGCAGGATAGAGGGAAGCTCTCATCAGACAAGGCTCTTCTCTGGGTGCTTGTTTTGGTTTTGAGACTGTGAGGTGTAACTGTCTCCTCACAGTAACCCTGATACAATCCCCAAAATTCACTACATGAAGCAAAACAAAACAAAATGAATCACTGATGTTAATAAATTGAAACCTTAAAAAAAGGCAAGGAACAGAGCGTTCCGGTGGTGGTGGTACACAACAAGCAGAGGGGTACATTGTTCTTTAACTGGGTGCTGTGGAAAAAGGGGTGAAAAAGACACACTACAGAAACCATAGGGGCGTGGGAAAGAGTGGTAGTCCAGCCCTGCCCCCACCCTGGGTAGGAACAGCTGAGAACTGACTCTCCCAGGACTGAGCCCTTCAGACCTTTGTCACTGCAGGAAATGTAGAAAACTTCAGTCTCCCAGCCCTTCACAACCTCAAGTCCCCAGAGGACTAGGTCTTTCTCATGAGGGATCCAGAAGAAAATATTCCAGATCAGCAAGGCTGAGGGTGAAGGCAGCGGAAGACTGGGAGATGGAGATGCATTTGGCTACATAATTGGAAAGGAATTTTACAAATATAAAATTCCATCAAGTAAACACACACACACTCCAACATTCAACAAATCTCTCTTTTCCTTCTCCAACGTTGGTTTTCCTAAGCTCCAACAAGCAAACAGTCCCACATTTGGTAAACTACAAATGCAATTCCTCAAAATGAAAAGCCAGTAGCTGACTGGTCCTCATCTACCCCATCTCTCAGGCCAGTCCCGGTGGAAGCCAACGGGAGACCCAAACACTCCTTCCACATTCAAGGAGTTCCTGCCTGGCTTCCTGAGTTCATTCAGATGACAGATGCCCACCCAGCAAATCAAGGTGTCTACTGCCTGGTACACACATGCCATTGAACATCACTCCTCAGCCTGTCCCCTCCTTACGCGCAAGGCTCAGCTGCAGGGCCAGTCCTTCAGTCTGCACAGGCTCCGCAGCAACATATCTCACCTACACACACCTGACAGCCTCGCAGCTCCCCCTGCCCTTCTCAGAGAGCCCAGGACCCAGAAAGGCTAGGTAGGGGAAGGCCACTTTCACCATGGGGCTGAGGGTCTCTTCTATGGCAAGGAGCGCGATGGGAGGCAGGCATCTCTAGGGTGAGCGACCCAACTCACATGTGGGTCTGTGAGGAACCACGGGGTGAGGAGGCCAGGCAGATGGACACAGACCACTGGAACTGGGTAATACGAGTTTCTAGTTCTGAGAATGGAGGTGCTGAGAGGTGAGGCTACAACACACCTGCCGCTAAGATTTCTTCCAGGTGGGAAGCCAGGGCCCTCAGGTAAAGGGGAATCAAGGCAGGTGGCATCAACAGTGTCACTAAGCACACCCTGTACCTGGGGCGGCACCAAGGGACTCGTTTTTCCCTGGGATTTTGGGAGTTGTGTCCTCTAAGGATCCCCGTGTATATGAGGGGTTTCAAAAAGTTCATGGGAAAAGTCCATCTTCCATGAGGTTTTGAAGTCCTCTCGCATACTTCTGTCAGCTAGGACAGTAAAACCCTAAGGGCTGACCACAGAGGTCTGGACTGGGTCAGGTCAAACGAGCACTGGAGTTGGGGTAAGGCAGCTGTCCCCTGTCCCCCGTCCTTCTTCCTTAGAACTCGATACGGGGTGGGTTTCCCTCGTGCCCAGGGTCAGCGCATCCTTGGGTAGGTACCCTGGTTCTGTAAACGGTCTGGATAGAGGGACAAAAGCCAGCCCTCAGCTAGTTGGGTGGCACCGGCTGTCCCTGCACTTGAGCATGTTGTGAGGGCACAGAACACCCGCAGAGATTCCTATGCCAGCTCTCGGCTTGCTGCTTCCCTTTCCAGACGGCTTTGCTTATTCTCCAAAGTCAGCATGGTCGGCATTCAAACTTATCTCTATGGGCACGATGACTGGAATGGGGGTGAAAATGAGTGTAAACAAACCAGAGAGGCCTTAGCCGACACAGAAACCCAAAGTGGAAATCGAGCAAGCTCTGTAGCAAGAGACGACCCAGCTTTGTAGGCTGGCAGCGGGGTCATCGCAGCACCCAGAGAAGTGAATGTGAAGAGATCTCGACAGAACAAAAGCAGGCGTCTCTGGGGCAGTCTGCCGGGACTCACACTCTCAGGTCGTACACAACCGGCCAGCCTCAAACAGTTGGCAGAGCGTGCAACCACGGACGCTAAATCCAGCAAAAGGGCGAGGTAGGCCAATGAAGCAAAAGGCCGATTTTCTATTCCACGGAATTTAAAAACAGCTTTTAAAAAATGATTCCCCAGTGCGGGGCGGGGGGAAGCTTTTGAAGGGAGGCGTGCAGTCTTGGCTCATCCCCATGTCGGCTGGTCAGTGGTCAGCATCTTTCATAAAGAAGGCACGGGAACCAGGCAGGGGAATGGGCTATGCCGACAGTCCTCCTCAAACCCTCCATCAGAGTACATTACTGTAGTTTTGTTTCCTTTTTTATTCCTTTGTAGACTTCTTACCACTTTTGAAGAGTAACTTCATATACGTCTTCCTGGGGTGGAAGGCAGATTCTGTTATCTTTTCCCAGGTAAGCTTCTGGAAGCCTGCAGACAGGGTCCCCACGTTGTTCTAGTGCAGGGCTGAAGAACTGATAAGGGAGTGGCGGAGGCATCAGTGGATGGAGAAACATCCCTTCCTGTCTCCGTAAGTCCAAGTGAAGCAAACAGAGGTGTCTGGGAGCCAGACTCCAATCTTCTTGAACATGGGGCCCATGGCTCCTCCTTTTCCCGCAGGTTCCAGGCTCCCTCAAAGCTCACCCCAGATCCATGTGTCAATGACACTGACCAACTTTTGGCTATGGCCACAGACAGGGAGGACAGGAGGCAGGGAGAGCCGACTCTGGCTTTTGGGAGGAGTGTGCGTGTTGGGATACCTGAGCTTATAGAGCGTGTTCTCCCACGTAGAGGCTGCAGATGATCGGGATGGGACCCCTGCCGCTCCACTCCCCATGCCTTCCTCAGTCATCGCCCACTTTGATAAGCTCTGCCAGTAACGTTCAGCAAGTTGACCTGTGACCTGAGAGACGAGATGAAGGCCGACCCCTTGGAGAACTGCCTGTCCATTTTCCATTTCTTCCCTTACAGCAGAGGCAGAGCCGGCGGTAGGCACGGGGACATCTTTGGTCCAGAAATTGTCGTGGTTTGACTCCCATTTGAGTGACACAGTTGGCAGTCAGTCTGAGGACAGGGAGGCAGCGTGGGCTCTTCAGCAGCTACAACTGGACGGTAGGAAGGTCCGCTCAGTACTTCTGTCTCTTGAAGGGTGAGGCTTGGGAGTGGTGGAGAATCTGGGCAGAAGGGCCGTACGTGATGTGAGCCTGAGGGGGCGCTGGCTGGAGTCCCTGCCACGGGTCTCAAGTAAGAGAAGTCCATGCGCAGTGCCAAAGGAACCAGACACAGCAGCTGTACCCCACCCCGGCGTGCGGGCCAGGGGGCAGCTCAATCTTCTAACCCACCCGAGTGCAGTCATATGTAGGGTCTCTGAAGAAGGCAAGTCCCTGGCAGTCTGCCACACCTGAGCCTGAACTCAAGTCTACATCTATGTACAAGGTTCAGTCACTGGGTAAGGGGAAGAACTGCAGATCAGACAGGGCTGGGAGGGGTCTCTTGGCCTCGTGAGCTCTCCTGGTTGGCGAGTCCCTGTGTCTGGGCTTCCTGAGGGTGGTGGGACTGATAACTGAGGTTGCTGAGTGAGAGTTCACAGCAAAGGGTGTCCAGAGATGGGCTACTGCCGCTGGCAGGACCCAAACCGGCTGCCGACCTGAGCGTGGTCTCTGGGGCAGCCTGGAAGACCGTCTGAGTGGGAGGGGGATCCTGAGGCTCCGAGGCAGGATCTGCTAGGCTGGAGGCCCTGTCTCCACGAGCAGAGGAGGGTCTCCTTGACGTCTTGTGAATCACGTGCCGTCAAAGTGCTAAGACTCGCCTGCTCTCTTGCCAATCCCGGTGATGGCCTTGGAAGCCTGTTCTGGCAGCTGGGCCGGGTTTGTCAGAACGGAGGTGGTGGTGCTCAGGTGGCGAAGCGTGCTCAGCACCACTGCAAGACAGGGGTGAGCCACCCACTGAGTCCATGCACCCTGTGCACACGCTCCCATGTGGGGGCCACTGAGCTAAACTGAGGCAGGGGTGCTTACACCTCCTTACTCGGGTCCACTGTTAACAACTGAGAGCAGCCTAGAGGACACAGAACGGCTCCACAGGGCTTCCAACTACATGGAAACAGACTGCCTCCGTTTTCTGCATGGAGTGGCTGACCTTACAGCTAGCAGCTGGGAGCTTTAATCACTGCACCACTAGGGCCCTTCACCTGACACTCCCAATGCCACTGTGCTGATTCCAACTCAGAGTGACCCTCTGTAGGGTTTCTCAGGCTGTAAATCTTTCTCCCACATAGCAGACCTCAAAGACCTGTTTCCCATCCTTCTCCAAGGGGCCTTTCTGGACATACTGAGCTCCTTTAGGGGAGGTGTAGGTGTTCTTAGTTAAGCACTCCAAGATCAGTGTCCCACCCTTAGCCCCCACAGTTCCGGCTGCACTCACTTGGCCTGAGGACGGGCAGGGAGCAGCGCTGATCAAGCCAGGAGAGTGCTGTCCGGTGAAGCTCCTCCAGGCTACCGGTGGACACCATCCCCTTGAAGGACTCAAACAGGGGCTTGATGATGATGCTGAACTACACACACTTGGTTAAAGAAAAGGTCTGCGTGGGGGGCGCTGGGCACGTGACTAAGTCTGCCATCACTGTCCAGAGAGGATTAAGAAAGAGGAAGGGCAGGTGATTGTTCCTGACAGGGAAGTGTGTCCACACATTGGGCTCTATGTCTGTCTCCGACAGGGCAGGCTGCTGGAGAGAGATGAGCCCACATCAGTCTTTGTGTACACACAAAGATGGAAGCACAGTGGCCTCTCTTGATGGCTCCATGCAGGGCTCCTAACCCCCTGAAGATCTGGGCTCAGTAAAGGCACAGGTACGTCTCCTCCTCATGGGGGTCATGCCCACAGCTCCCACCCCGCAGCCATGTTACCAAGGCATACCTGACTCACGAGCACTGTCAGCATTGGTCTGAGTGGCAAAAACCCAGAACCAAATGGCCAAACCAGGGAAGGACATGAGGGCTGGTCACTGCATCCCTGAGGTCACCCAGCAGCACTGTGCAAAGGCCACCTGCCCCATCGCCAGTGATGGTGGTTAGTTCTCTCCTCCTGCCCAGATGTCCCTCAGGCCATTGCACCCAAGACCCCCAAAGTGGCAGCCAACTCACCCTTGGCAGGAGTGCCATGTGCCCCTGAAGGCCAGGTGCAGGGTGGCCCTGGTGCCACGGACAGACCCACACTGAGGTGCAATGTGAGGGAACAGGCTGCAGACCTGGAGTCCCCGCCTGTGTCAGTGGGGAGCAGATTCCTCCACCGTCTGCCACCAGGATCACTGAGCTGCCGCTGCTTTATGAGGTCTCCTGCCTCTCTCCACTGTCTTCACTTCTTAAGGCCTGCCTGCCAACTCTTTCCCACAAGGTGCCCATGAGGCCCTAGCTCCCCTGCCCCTCCGCCCCCTCCACCACCCCACTGCAGGCCAGGCCCACTCTCCTCATCTGAGAGGATGTCTTTCCAGAGAGAAAGTCTGTGACTGCATTTCCACAGCACTGGCCCGGGGTCGAAAAAGCCCAGCAAAGTAAAGATACAATCCAGAACTTCCAATTCTGCAGGGTCCGGCTCTTCACGTACTCGTCAAACATGTCTCTCATGTGATCAAATTGATGCCTGGCGACAGGGACACCGGTGGCAGGGAGCAGCTGCTGGCAGGAGCTGGAACAACAGGAGGAAAGCAGTGAAGTGGCTGGGCCAGATCAGGACCCAGGGCTGGTGCCTGGCCAGGCTTCATTGTGGACAAGGGGCACCTCCAGTCTCACATGATGGTGGCATTCAGTGCCTCGATCTCCTCCCGCAGCTGCCGGGCCTCCTCCTGCAGCTGGCCCCGCTCCTGCTGCAGCTTGGTGATGTACTCCACGGTCTTCTGCAGGGTGATGGCGTGGCTGGTCTGCAGAGGTAGGCAGGTCAGGGTGGCATGTGAAGGTGCCCAGGCTCCCCAGCCAGCACCATGTGCTCAGTCAGCTTACCAGCTTGGAGCTATTGGCAATCAGGCCATTCAGGGTGTCAAAGCCTATCTTGATGTTGAAGCGCCTCTTCTGTTCAGCTGAAATGTGCTTCATTTGTCGGTTCTGTGGGGGAAACGACCGTCTATCATGGGTGACATGGATCAGGCCAGCTAGGCCAACCCTAGGCCCAGCCCTGTGCACCTCTGCATCTCACATATGGCCATGGGGCAGGTGAGAGCCCAGGAGCACCCAGTCACACAGGCCCCAGAAGGAGGGTGTGACAGAACTGAGCTGCTCCCATGAGGGAGGAATCGGGGGAAATCAGGAGCTGGAAAGCCACCACTGCTGAGCAAAGCCAGCAAGCCAGTCATCAGCCAGCGTGCAGATGGGACGAAAGGGCTTTTTGACCCAATGTCCAATCTTGCCTCCCGGCCAGTTTTTCTCTGTGCCACCTCCCCTCATGTAACGGAGGAGGATCAGAGACGGCCACCAGCATCACTGAGGACTGCACTGTGGCCTCCATGCAGGGGCCTCTGACATGCCTGCCCTGGGCAGAATGGGGGGAGCTTGGTTAGTGGGCAGGGAGTGCAAGGGCCAGAGAAGCCCCCCAAGAGAATCCAGTCCTGGGGGTACCTTTAATGCTGTCACATTCTTGTGGTCAGTAGATTTCCCAGAGCAGCTGTTCTGGGGGGACTGGGGGCTGGGGCTTTGCTCGGATGCGCACGGAGAGGCCTGCCCGGAGCTGGGACAGTCTCGGCCTGAGAAGAAGAGACCCCGCTGCAGATGTGAGCTGGGCAGGGCTGCACTGCTCTCAGCAACTCAGAGATGGGACACAGATGTGAGGTGTTATGAGCATGGGATCAGAACTGGCAGCTCATAGTCACTCAGTTGTTCTGAGGCAGAGTTTGGGAGCTCTCCCCTGTGGGTGTCAGTTGCCTATCTTGACATTGTTTGTTGCTGAGCATGTACCGCCTGGTCCTGAGAGCCAGGTTCAAGCTGGGGACCCCAAGCTAGACCTCCAGGGTGTGGGGGGCCCATGGTGCTCTGCCACAGAAATGGACACTCACTGGGACCCACAGCGGGAAGCAGGGTGCCACCCCCATGCAACAGGCCCTGCTCGCCCTTCACCAGGGTATCTGGCACGGTGCTTGGGGAGAAGAGCCGGGGGATGGGTAGCTGGCTGCCAGAGCTGTGGCCGATGTCTGTGGTCACTAGGATGCTGCTGTGGAACTCCGTGACCCCAGGAGCCTACAGCGACATGGAAAGAGTGTGGTCACCAAGCACAGACATGGTGGGGCGGGAGGCCAGCCATGTTACTAGCAGGCAGAGGGTTTTCCCAGGGCCCTGGTCCCTCCCACACAGGTGAACCCGCCTTCTCACCCTGGCGATGGCAGTGGGTGTGATGACCATGCTGGACTGGGATACGGTGGAGGTGGCCTGCATCCCTTCTCTCTTCAGTGGGCCTGACGTCATTATCACTGCTTGTGGCCGGCCTGGGAAGGCAGCTGACCATATAGAAGCGGGGGAGGCCCCCAGTCAATGAGCATGCTCCAGGGAAAGCTGACCCCTCCTGCCCTCAACGCAGGAAGAGTCAAAGCCACTGGGGCAGTAAAAACACTTATGCAACTTGTCCCTGAAGGGGACGGACCAGAGGCCTGGGAACAAGATGGTCACGTCACCGTGAGTTTTCACACGTGAGTCAGATCAATATAAAAAACAGACAGGAAGAGGGTCAGTGTAGAAGCTGAGTAGCTCACGGTCTGTATTCTGCCGTGGGACAAGCACCTCCCTTAAAGTGGGGTGGGGTGGGCTGAGTGGGGTGTCTGTAGGGCCTGGGAAACCAGCTGTGGCTCCCCTAACTCACCTGGGGTGATGCAGGCATTCTTCAATACCAATGACACAGGCTCTGGTTTGGGGGCAGGCACTATTTTAGGGGGCTGCTTGGGCCTCACCCCGGTCAAGGATACAGGTTTGGGAGGCACAAAAGTTAAACAGGGTTGTGAGGGCCCAACAACAGGAGACAGTGCCAAGTCACAGGGGGAGGTGGGGGGGCGGGTCGTGACCACCAGGCCCTGGCTCTGGCTGAAGGTGGTGGTGGAGGCTGTGTGGGTGATGACAGAGGGGGGCTGGCTGGCTCTGACCTGCTGTGTCTGAAGGAAGGTAGGGGGCGCTGGAGGGCGCAGGGCAGGTGGGGTAGGGGGAACCAGAGGCAAGGAGGGTGAAGCCGGCGTGGGGGCAGGGCTAGGGGAGAGCAGGGGCAATGTGAAGACAGGAAGGAAGGGCTGGGGGACAGTCAGAGGGGGCTCTGAGGGGCCAAAGTCTGTGGGCTGGACAAAGGGGTCCCGAGAGCGAGGGCCATGGTCACAACTCTGCTGCTCCGAGGTGTCCAGAGAGGCAGGGGCAGCAGATGAAATGAAGTTGTCTGGCAGGCTCACGTTGGGGAGGGTGGCGGTTGGCAAGATGTTCTCCTGAGAGGAGAGGGGTGAAGGCTGGGGTCTTTCTGGCAGCAGGCACCAGGATGAATCCCCCATCATGCTGATGCCTGAGCACCCCCAGGCTCTTGTTTCCCTCAGGGCTCACTACCGCTCGGAGCTCAGACAGAAATGGCTCCAGGCGGACACCAGCCAGGGGCTCTCTGGTTTCTCGAGCCATTTTCCATGACAGGACAGAAGCAGCCTGGCTCACAGATGCTTACCGGGTCACCCAGAACAGCTTCATGTGTCAACTTCTAGAGCGATACCTCTTCCTCAGTGGGAGAGGCTACGACAAATCAAAGCCTTGTCCCCAGTCTCCACAGAAGACACTCTTCCCAGCGCCAGACACAAAGACAGTGTTGGTGTCTGGGGTCCCTGGGAAGCCTGCCTCACTCAGCCCGGCAGCCACAGAGCCTGGGAACCAACCACCACTACGCACTGAGCAAAATAGAAAGTAAACCTACAGGGCCGATTTTCATAAACGAAGCCCTGCTGTGGCGCTGGGGGTTAATGCCCTGGGCTGCAAAGTTGGTTTGAACCACAAGGTTGGTTCAAGCTCGCCAGTCATTCCTCGGAGGCTACACAGGGTCACTATGGGTAGGAACCCACTCGATGGCACTTAACAAAAACAATTTTATCACAGTCCAAGTTTTCTTTCTCTGATCCCATCTTAACTGGTCAGCACAGAACTGCACTCAGGATACAGGAAGCCCCCAGCAAGCACACATGCTTCCTGACACAGCCTCCACCACTCAGATGCTGACTGAGGGTCAGGAATTCACAAATACACAAGGGTCAGAACAAGATGGAGCAACGCTGTGTATGCTGCTCATAGCTGCACAGTCCTGCCCTGAGTCTCATACCTGGGTGGGGGGATTGCTGGGATCAGGGACTGGGGCTGGGGCTGGGGCAGGCAGCATGGAGCCAAAGATGGAGCGGATGGAGAAGAGGTCTGAAAGACAAAGTTGGGGGCCATGTGAGCTTCATGTGCCTGTCAAGCCCAAGGTCCAGTATATGCACTCATCCCACCTGACGCAGAGGCGTGTGCGCACACGCAGCCATGGAGACCTCAGCAGAACAAGGCCCTCTGGCCGACCCAACTAGCCCAGGCTCTGAAAGACACATCTTACAACAAGCTGGGACCTGCTGGAAACAGCACCATGGTGGCTGTGTCGTGCACGCCCCCTGCTGCCCAGAGCAAAAAACACACGTTCTTTAAAGAACAGTCAGTCTCAGGAAAACTTTCAAGTTTCTCCCCAGTTCTACATCAGTCCTCTCAGAAAGGGACACATTACCCGCTTGGTCCAGGCAGTAGCCTCTACCTGACGCTCACCCTGGAAAGGCTCAAATGTGTCCATGAAGTCCAGGTTGGGCTGTAGAGGCATCAATCCCGGCTGGATCATGTCTGCGTTGCCCAGATGTGCTGTGAGGGTCAGAAAGGGGAGAGGGTCAGCCCGCCTTCTCAGCCCACCTAACAGGTACACACAAAGGGGCTCTGAGCACATTCTAGTCTTTCAAGGGGAAGTAAAGGCAGCTGGCTGGGGTTTCCCCCTTCTACAAGTTCATGGCCTTTTTTGCTCTCAAAAGGCAGTAGAGAAAGCTCACTGGGGTTGTGGAGTGGATAACCCTAAAGAGTAGTGAGGATCAGAGAAAAAGAGGACGACCCCCAGAGATGGCAGTGTTTTGACTCGATGGCACCCAACAACAACAACAAATAGTAGTGAACTGATTCCCATGGTTCCTCCCCCAGATTGGGCTAGAGACCACGCCCAGCAATGCTCCAGGGTTTCTCTAGGTGAGTCACTGGTGGGCCAGGATCAGAGATACGATACTCTCAGTGGCCCCGAAGACTGCCGGGTGGCCCAGCCCCACCAAGGACACGTGGACCTGTGGGTCAAACAGGGCTGGCCAAGCCTTCAACGCCACATATGAGGGGACATGAGTGAGTGACATGGCACAGGTTGGCACTGGGCCTGGGGTGGGGGTGCCCAGCAGAGAAGCAGAGGTTCCGGGGTCTCCAAGTTCTAAGGACACGGGTGCAGTTACCTATCTCGCGGGGGTTGGGCCAGGCCACGGGCTGGTGAGAAGACAGTGTGGAAAAGAGGGTGTCGCTGAACTCAGACATGAGCATGTCGGTGTCCAGAAGTGGGTCCTCCTCCATGGGGACTGGGGTCTTCCATCCGTCTCCATGTTTGTGCCAGAAGAGCATGTCGTCATCCTACTCATAGGAGGGAGGGAGAGGGCAACACGGGACTCATGAGTCCCCTCACGGTGCTGCAGCGGGAGAGGTAAGGACTGGGCTGGCCTCAGGGGGAGTCCATACCCCTCCATTCATCACAAGGATCCCGGCTCCCAGGCTCCCCTGAGGCCCACCCACCTGGGCCAGGCTGGACAGGTCCTCATCCTTGTGCTGCTGTAGCTGGAGGAGAAGGGAGAGGAACAAGGGTCCCCTCAGGCCTTGGCAAGGTCTGGGCCTCAGTCATACCCCCCTGGGAGAGGGGGTGCTCTCTGAACATCCTATGGGGTGCCAGAAGGCAAGGAGAGAAAGGCAGCCTGCCCTGGGTTCCCCAGACTGATGTAGGGCACAGAGGGGGTCTCTTAGGTAATACAGAATCAACGGCCCCAAGCACAGCTGGGACACCAAGAGCAAGGAGAGTATGTTCTGCCCACTGGACTCTCCTGCTCCATGCGGTAGGTGGGCCCCCTGTCCTCTTCCCTGTAGGGCTGCTGCCAGGTACCCTTTTCTTGAAGTAGGTTCTCCACTTGTGATACTCTCTGATGACAATCTCTATGCGACTCTTCCAGTACTTCCCTTCCGTGGTGATGGCCTATTGCACAGGTGACAACAAACGGATTCTGGGTTCAGCATCAAAGCTCTGTGCTCACAGGGCAGAGAGCCTGATGCTGGGCAGCCAGCTTAGAATATGCATCTGAAGTCCCTCCCAAGGCACATCCCACCTCAACCTGCACCCAAACGGGTCCTCCCACAGAACCTGCACTTTCATTTTAAGACCTAAGCTCTCACAGTGCCTCCGCAGGACTGGTAGCCCAGGACAGAGCAGAACACTTGGGCAGGGCAGTAGGGCCATTCTGCCCCATCCTTAGAGGAACCTATAGAAACTCACAGGCTGCCACTTTCCCACTTCCAAAGGGTGAACACTAATAACCAACCACAGAACTTCAGGGCGAATGGGGCCTCCAAAAACATTTAGTCCAACCTTTCCATCGCATGACGCATACATGAGAAATTTCTTCCATAACATCCTTTCACTCAGCTGTGTCGAGGAGAACTCTGCTCCACTGGGTTTTCACAAGTAGACTGGCAGACCTTTCTTCTGAGGAGCACCTGGCTGAGCCTGAACCACCAACCTTCCGGTTAGCAGTTGAGTGCATTCACCATTTGACCATCCAGGGATAAAGAACTGACTACTTTCTCAGAAAGTCCAACTCACATCCAGATACTTTTTTCCCTTCCCTCTTCTTTTGGCAAAAATCTTTTCAAGCAAGTCCCAGGTATGGTGTCATTTCACAGATAAAACGGTTTTTTAAATTAATGTAAAGAAACAGAAAATATTGTTGTGCAAGTTCCCTTTTGTTTCATTGGCTTTTTCCTCAACGTCTTTTCATATGCCTTGTTGTTGTTAGGAGCTGTCAAGTCTGTTACAACTCATAAAAACCTATGCACACAGAATGAAACTCTGCCCAGTCATGTGCCATCCTCACAACTGTTACACGTGAGCCCACTGCTGCTGCCACTGTGCCAATCCAGCTGTTGGGGTCTTCCTCTTCATTGCCGATCCTCCACTTTACCATGCATGATGTCCTTCTCCAGAGACCAGTCCCTCCTAAGACCATGTCCACCTGCCTTACAATGAGCCAAAGCCCTGCTCATGTTTCATGTGAGATCAGAGGCTACATCCTCATCAGAGAACCACTCAATTTGGGCTCAGTCCAGTCTGAGAAGAGGGAACTCCAGTAGCCCATGGGGTGCCAGTGGTCATTTGCTGCCAAAGTCCCTTCTCAGGGTCTTGCCGGCTAAAGGACATGCACAACCGCTGCCCTGCTGCCTACCGCTCTGTATACCCTCTCCCTACCACCACAGACCCGTCCCGTACCTCCGGCCGGCGATGCTCATCCACATCCACAGAGCCATCGAGGGGCGTGACAAAGTGGCACACAGGATTCTTGCGCTTCTCCAAATCTGGGAGGGCAGAGGGCACGACACTCACTACTGCCAGGAGCCCTGAAGAGACGCCTTCCCGCCCCTCAGCGTGGCCCTACCATTCATCCTCTGATTCTGGGAAGCCAGGGGTCTGTCAACTGCACAGGAGGGTGGAGACGACGGCACTGTCCAGGAGCACCCACACCCACTGGACCTGCTTCCAAAACCTCTGCACGTTGACCCCTCACAGTCCACCTCTCTGCTATAGCTTTCCTGACACCCCTCCCTCCTTCTCTTCCCGTGTCTCTGGGACCCACGATCACCACAGCTGTCTCCTCCACACTGACGGTATCTGCTGATTACAAGGCTGAGCCCCAGTCCAGACACACGCAGGCCTAGGTGCTCCTACAGCGCTTACATTGCATGTACCACGCCCGCCAGATGGCGTTGTTGAGTCGGATCTTGTCCCTCCACTGGAGCTTCAGGCCTTTGAAATTCTTCCACTTGGGAGACACCAGCTTCCCACTGCAAGGCAAGAGAGTTTGGGAAACTCAATAAAACCAAGTCATGTGCCCAGGAATTCCACAACTCGCGTGGAACTTCAGGATATATGAGTCATTCCAGGCTTTGGGGTCCCATCAGTGGGAGATGAGGAGGGGGTGGCACAATCCAGGATGTGGAGGGAACCAGGCTGCTGGAGAGAGCTGACGGCACACAGGATTCACTATACCATTTTACTGACTTTCACAAATCTTTGTAATTTTCCACACACACAAAAGTGAAACAGAACTCTCTTGATCACAGAATAAAAACCAACCTCCTGTAAGCTGGTCCCAGCCTACCTCTTTTCACACTAGTCCCTATGAGACACTCATGATCCATGGATACCAAACGACCCATTGGTCTTAGTACCAGTGCAGTCCCTCGTGTCCCCAAGCCTCTATATGTGGGCCCCCGAGCGCAAATACCTGTCATCCTTCAAAGCGCTGCTCAAATGTCATCTCATTGGAGTGGCCCACGAGGACCCTGACCTCTAGGTCAGCTGTGTGTGTATGTCCCCTCATTAGACCCGGAGACTCTCCAGAGGAGGCTCTGTAGGCTCACAGTATCTGACAGAGTGAGTAGGGCCCTGGCTCGTGGTGGGGCTCAATTCATTCTCCTCAGAATTAGGTAAAGAGCCTGTGCAAACACAGTCAGCAGCAGGTAAAGGAGTGGGCATTGTTCTAAGAGTTTCCTTTTCCAAGTGCTATGCCAAAGGCTAGATAAGCACTGGACTGCTAACCACAAGGCTGATAGTTCAAACCCACCAGTAGCTTCTTGGAAACCCTATACAGGGTTACTTTGAGTGGGAACTGACTCAATGGCACTTAACAATAACAATGCTGGAGCCAAGGAGCCCGCGTGGTACTGTTATGTGTTGGGCTGCTAACTGCAAGGCTGTTGGTTCAAACCTACCAGTCACACCTTGAGAGAAAGATGAAGCTGTCTGTTTCAATATTCCGACTTCCAGTTGCCCTGTATAGGGTTTCCCATCTCAGAAACTCTATACAGGGTCATGTGAGGCAGAATCAAGCTGATGGCAGTGGGTCAGGGGGCACAGAATTTGCCTCCTCCAGACGGCTTGAGATAAGCAAGCCACGATTTGGGGTTTCTAGCAGAGGGGGTACTCCACAGGCTCACATCCCTGCTCCTTCTTCAGAGTGACTGGGGACCCCATGCGACAGGCACAGTGTCTTCAGAGGAAGCACCAACCAACTAACAGCTCAAGCCAAAGCTTTGGCAGAACACTGAGGCCTCTCTCGTCACTGCACCCACAGCTGGCCTAGCAGGCAGGTCACCCCAGACATCACTACAGCATGTCCTCTCAGGTACGAAGGACAGGCAGACCGCCCCAGCCCTAGGACCAGGAGAAGCACCCACCTTCCTCCCTCCCTTCTCAGGAGGTCTCCAGGTCCCTCTTTCTGCTCTGCCCAGTTTCACCAGCCATTATTGCGCAGTTCTGAGCTTCTGCTGCCTATGAGCGGGGCACTTTGGAAGGACACTAAAACTTGTCTGGAATTTAACTCTGCTCCCTAGGTAAAATCACAGTAACTGCCACACCCAGAGAGCTTTAAGAAGGATTAAATGAGTGCGCACACACACACACACACACACACACACACAAATGCCCCAAAGCAAAATAAAAAGGTAAGCTACTAATCCACCTTGATTATCTAGATTTATGTTCTTATCAAGAGGCCTGACTTCAAACAACATCTCCTAGCCTCCAATTCCTTTCTTTTCCTCTCAATGTGCCCCCTTGTTGTCTCCACAGGAAGTGGCACCCCTCACCCCTCACCCTCAGTGCCATCAGACCAAGATCTGGGTCAAGGCCCATCCGGCCTGCCTTGTGGGCGCCCACACAGCTGCAGAGCCACTTGCTCTGGAACGCAGGGCTGAGGCTACGTATACAAGAGTCGTGAAGAGTCGGCACTGGGACGTGTACTGAACTAAGGGGCTCAAGTCACTGCGGGAGGCCCAGCTAACCCAGCCTGAGTGGTCAGGAGAGGTTCTCAGGAGGAAACGACACCACATAAGGGCCAAGCGGACAAGGAGACCTTAGCAGAGCCAGCTGCGGAGAGTGGGACCACGCTGTGCCTTTTTGTCTGACTAGTGACAGCTTGTGACAGCCCTGAGGCGAGCAAGAGTTTGGCCTGTTCAAAGCTGGGACCACCTCCCAGGGAGCAGCTGGTTCCAGAAGCTAGAGAGCAGACAGAAGCCAGACCACCCAGGGACTGGATGGCCATGGCCAAGGGCATAGTCTTCAATCCCAAGAGCAATGAGAAGCCTTTGGAAAGTTGTAAGCAAAAAAGTAAGTTAATAGAATCTGATCTGTGGTGGGTTTTTTTGTTTAAAAAAAAAAAAAGTCCATGCGATATATATTACAGAGAAAGAAGTAACACCAAGACTAAAGAATCCTTACCCGTTAACAGCCCCTGCTGTCCCTGGGTCAGAACCAATTCAATGGCACTTAACAACAACACCACCCATCAACAGGCATCGTGGTGTGGCACTGCAGGATAATGCACCATACTGTACGGTCAGCTTGCACTGTAGGTCGGCGGTTCCTGCTTACCAGGATTTCCTTGGAAATCTTATACAGAGTCACTAAGAGCCAGAACTGACTCAATGGCACATAAAACAATAACAATCCATCAACTGGACTCCTGGTGTGGCTCTGTAAAATCAGCACTGGACTGTGAATCACAAGTCAGCAGTTCAAACCTACTAGCTGCTCCTCAGAAACCCTATATGGGGTTGCTATGAGTCAAACCGACTCAATGGTACTTTACAACAACAACCCATCAATAAGAAAAAGACAAACTTTACTAAAAGTGAACCAAGGAAGTGAATAAGCAATCCAGAGAAGAAGAAAACTACAAATAGCCAACTAACACGCAAAATGATGCTCGGCTTTACTAAGAATCACTGAAATGCAAATTAGAACAAGATGTCATTTTCATTCATTATGCTGACAAACATTTAAAAAATCTGAAACCCTGAGGCACTGGCAATGGAGTGGGCGACTGGCTCTGACACATTCCTGGAGGGAGGCCACCGGGCAAAGCCATTTTATAGGGTGGCTTGGCCTATGACCCACCAGACTTCAAAACACATAAGGCAGCTACAATGACTGAAACACAAGCGGAGAGCTCAATGGAATACAGGACAAAGTCCAGAAGCATGGGCATTTTATATAAGATAGAAGTAGCATTTCAAATCAGGAAGGTAAAGATGGCTTGTTCAACATTAAATAATGCCAGCTGTAAAGGTGCTAGGAGAAATCATGAGAGCAGGAACGGCACAAACCCCAGAAGGCATGATGAACACTACATAAAACCCCTAAGTCTATACACGACAAAACAGTCAGAACAACTGACGGTGGACACACTGACAACCCTCTCAAAATTATTAGTGTAAAAAAAAAGAAAGAAAACCCTATACCTTATGATGAAAAAGGAAAAGGATCCATGATTGACAGTTTCCAGAAAATACAAATGGTTCTTAAACACACAAAAACCCACATGCCTTCACTTATCAACGAACCCAAAACGAAAACGAGATGACAGTTTCACCTCAGAGGGTGGGGAGGACCACACATTTTGTAAATGGATGAGGTCTGGGGACATGGGGCAATGCTAGCAGGAATATATACTGGGAGGATCTCTCTATAGGACAACTTGGGAATAACTCCCAAAATAAACACACAAACCCTTTAAGACTTGATCCTGTAGATAAACTCACACATGCATAAAACATGAAAGGGCTTCAAAAAGTTTGTGGAAAAACTCCATTGTAGTTCCATTCGGTTTGTCCACAAACTTTTTGAAGGTCCATTATAATATACATATCCAAGGATAGTCATTACAGGATCATTTATAGTGAAAGACAGGAAATCACTGAAATATTCAAGAAATGGCTCATTAAATATCCTATAATACTATATCATACAATAGTATCTACAGAGCTTTAATAAGCATGCACAAACAGAAAGCAGATTAGTGGCTCCCAGGGACTGAGAGCAGGAGGAACGCTAATGGATTTTCTTTTGAGGGAGATAAAAATGTTCTGGATTTGGATAGCAGTGATGGATGCACAACTCTGTGAATATACCACACTCTGTAAAAAGAATTACATCTCAGTGCATGTGCAGGAAAAGAAAGCAAAGTATAAAGCAAGGTGCATATAAAAGAGACTTCATACAGTATGTGTTCATGTTTGAAAAGGGCGTATTTGGAAGGAAACACAAGAAACTAGTAATAATAGTAGTAGGACTAGTTAGGAGCTAGGTGGGAGAAGAAAATTTACTTTTCACAGTACATCCCACTCCTAATTTAGGGTCCAAAGACCAGACCATAATGTGACAACTGGTATTACGTGAACATTGAGGATGACCATATCAGATCACAAAATGAAGGATAATGACATCATTACATAATTGCCAAAGTGCATCATTATATAACGGCCAAACCACTGAGAATCATGGTCCAGCCAATTCAACGCATAACTAAGTGCCGTTGAGTCGGTTCCGACTCATAGTGACCCTGTATAGGGTTACCTAGGAGCTGCTGGTGAGCTTGAACCGTCAACCGTGTGCTTCTAACCAACTTTGCAGTCCAGCGCATTATTCCACAGCGCCACACCAGGATGCAGAACCACTGAGCCCCATGACCCAGCCAATTCAACACTAAGTCAGCATTACTAGTGCCCCCACCACATCGACATGCTGCCACCCGATGTGCATCGTTAATGTGCAAAATAAATAGTAGCATGGATTTTGTTTTCTATTTTCATAGATGCGAAATGTCAGATAATGAGATAGTTGGATTAGTAAGGAGTCAGTATATACACTTTTGAGTATTTTGAATTTTGTGCATTCAAAGAATAAATTAAAAACAAAGCAAAACTGTTATGATCAGAAATTTTACTTTTCAGTATCACAATAACATTTTAAGTTGTATTAGTTATTATCTGTAGTAGTAAAA